AACGACATCTCTGCTAGAACCACCTGGTTTAAGGAATCATACATTAATGCTTGCAGACACGGAGAGTGAAAAAACAAAATGGGTAGTTGCTTTAAGTGAATTGCATAGAATATTAAAGAAAAACAATCTTCCTAATACAACGGTAAGTACAACACAGCCATGTATATATTAGAATATATCGCTCAATTTCATTTATTTTTATTTATATTATTTTTTACGTTGCAGATATTTAGAGCAAAAGAATTATTAGATAATACATTGGCGCTAATTAAAAATGTGATGTCAGGAGCAATTATTGATCCAGATCGTCTAGTCATTGGCACAGAAGAAGGTCTCTTCTGTTTAGATTTAGATCGTAGCGGTACGTTTTAACCTACGTAACAAAAAATAACAGAATTATCATTTTATGATTAATTTACATTATGCATTTAGAAATTGCAAGAGTAGGAGAAGGCAAGAAAATATATTTACTGGAATACGTAACAGAAGAACAATTAATAGTAGTTTTAAGTGGAAAACAACGTCATGTACGGCTGGTTCCAGTACGTGCATTGGATGGAGATGAAGTTGAATGGATTAAAGTCGCAGAAACTAAAGGATGTATAACTTTAACGACCGGAATAGCCCATCGCAGTCCATTAACTTATTGTTTGTGTGTCGCCATAAAGAAGCAAGTAAGATATGTTATTATAATATCGCAACATTCATATAATAGATATAGATATAATGCTATTTTTAATATTATTTTCTTTTTTTGTTTTAATTTAGAATGCATCACAAGTCATTATTTATGAAATTACGCGTACAAAAACACGTCATAAACGTATGCGTGAATTGATGTTATCGTGCCACGCACAAACTTTACAAATTCTTTCTGAAGGTCGCTTTTGTGTTGGATATCCTTCTGGATTTTCTATCTACAGCATCTTAGGAGACCATCACCCTATTTGTGAATATATAAATCTAGTTCAAATAAATTCAGAATTAATTTGCTTTTTATGATCTATAAATATTTTATTTTTATGCCGTAGCATTGGTCCATTCTGAAAATACACTCTTAGGCTTTCTTACATACAGTGCTGTGGATGCTTTACGGTGTATCGAATTGCCACGTGGTGAATTCTTATTAGTCTTCCATACATTAGCAGTTTATGTCGACAGCCAAGGCAGAAAAAGTAGAGATCGTGAAATTATGTATCCTGCTGTTCCTACGGCAGTTAGTGAGTATTATTTGCAAAGCATAATATGAAACATATTAAAAACGAAATGTAATTATATCATTTATATTACAGGTTATTGTGAGGGCTATTTATTAGTTTATAGCGAAACTCACATTGATGTGTTTGGCTGTACAACTGGAGATTGGTTGCAGACACTTAATGTGAAACGAGCACGACCACTAAATACGTCAGGTTCTTTAACGTCCTGTGTCATTAATGATATGCCACATGTTATTTTTTTGAGCAATTTACATCAACGTCAGTATATTTCACTAACATAATAACGATTACGAAATCATTAGATATAATATGTATTCGATTTATTATAATAGGAGAATTACTTAATTTAACACCGCTAGATGCAAGTGGTAGACAAATGACAAAACCTCGAAGAAGATTTTCATTGAGAGAAGGAAATAGAGCTGTTCGTCCTACTGATAGACGTTCCAAAATGATATCTGCTCCGACGAATTTTAATCATATCAGTCACATGGGTCCAGGTAATGGAATACAGGTAGGTCATTTTGATTCTGCTTTTTTTTTCTAAACATATATATATATATATATATAT